AACCACAAAGTAGAGTCAAATGTCACATATTTTAGGTTTTTCCAATAAATTCTTGCTGCTGCGCACTGTTCCCCATGAAAGAGCCCTGGGCTCTGTCCATGCCCCTCACCAGCCTTTTCCCTGTTTTCACACAGAAATGGACCCAAGCCAAGAGGCAGATGATTGTGGCCGAGTTTCAGCAGCTGCAGCAGTTCCTGGAGGAACAAGAGCGACTCCTGCTGACCCAGCTGGAGAAGTTAGATGAGGAGATTGGGAGGTTCCAGACTGACACTATCAGGAACCTCTCCATGCAGATTTCCCGCCTCAGCGAGCAGATCGGTGAGCTGGAGGGGACGTGTCAGAAGCCAGCAAATGAATTCCTGCAGGTGAGATTGAGGGAGAAACGTCCTAGCTCCTCACACAGGGAAGGGAGGCTCCTGAATCAGAAGTGCTGGGGTCCAGCATTCAGATCTCAGTATAAGACCTTGTGCATTGCTGCCATGCGAGTGACTCTTGTGCTTTGTAGAGTTACAGGCACAGAGCTATTAGAGATGGCAAAGCCCCATTTGCTCAGGGGATCCATGTTCCTGGGGCTAGGGCAGGGCCTCTTCCCATGTTTGCAAAATCCCTTCTGTGAGGTCCCCTGTGGGTGTCCAATGAGGCTGAGATTCTTTTCTGTGTCTTTTTTCTAGGACGTCAGAAGCGCCCTGAGTAGGTACGTGGCTCTCACTCCCCTCACACTGCAGAGCGCAGGAAAAGGGCTTGGAACTGATGTTAGCACCACATCTCCACAGGGCTCTAATTCTGAGGGTCTCGTCCTCGCACTTTAGACTCTGGAATTCCCCATTCAGGGCACAGTCTAACCTCAGGTGTTTGCTAGAGCTCTCACCTCCCTGGGGCCTGGCTGCTTCAAGACGATGGGGTGGAACATGGGCCTGTCACTGCTGGGCACATTCAGCCCAGAGCAGCAGTGACCAAGAGTCTGTCCCACCTGAGGGCTGTTTGGAGACCTATGTGGAAGGAGCTGGGGAGGGGGGAGCTGGTGTCTCACTGTAGTCCCTAGTGGACAGATTCTTTCAGCCCTTCACATGGGAACCTTCTGTCCCTCGGCGCCTGGGCCAAGGAGTAAGTTGGCCGCGGAGACTCAATTCCCCTTTAGTCCCCCAGCCAGTCTCCCCAGACCAGAAGTGAAGAACAGCAATGGGACCTTTCAGGGGAAGGTTGCACGGCCATGGAATGTGTTGTCCCTGCTCTCAGGCTGGGAGAATTGGAGGATTCTAACTCCAGGCCTATTAGAGCTGAGACTTACTAGCCAGAACTTATCAGCAGTAAACTAAATACAATCACATTGAATTGTTTCTGTCCAGGTGTGAGACGGGGCAGTTCCAGCTGCCAGAGATTTCCCCTGAACTGGAAGAACAAGTCAGAGGGTTCTCCCAGAAAACGATTGCTCTGTCGGAGACTCTGAGGAAGTTCAAAGGTACCTGGAAGGGATGGATGAGGGGAAAGTGGTTCAATTATCTGAGACTATTGAATCTGGCCTCAGAAGCCAACCTTCCCCTGCCTCAATTCCCATGTGGAGAATGACGGCCCCATCAGTCTGCTCTCCTTAGAGACACTGAGTGAACAGACCCACCTGCTTGCAGATAGAGCCAGGGGTTTGCAAACTCTGAACCTCCCATTCAGAGATCAAAATGGCCAAAGTTAATGTGATGGCAA